GCGGCTCCGCACCCGGCACCGGCCCCGCGGCGCCGGGGAGCGCGAGCCGCCCGGCCGCGTGTCGCACCCCCTGCACCCCCTGCTCACGCCTCTAAATTGATAGGGGTTCCTGCGTTCCCAGGCTTCCCTCGCCTTGGAAAGTTTTCCAAACATCTAACCTTTCCACTTCAGTTGCAAAGTTGTTCAGTTCTTCACTGCTCTCATCCCAAAGCCTTCTATTCAACCTACAAAACTCCTGACTGTGCCGCGTGCTTTCATCCCGGTTATCCTGCCTGTGGGACAGCGATCCAGTTTCCATGCAGGATTCCAGCATGCTGGCAGCAGTCGGAATGGAAAGAGACGTAAACCGCTAATCCCACCACCTGCTAGACTAGACACGTGCAGCAGGGGACTGCAAATGTCATGCGCCCATGAGAGCAGAGAAGTCTCCTGCAACAAACCCTGAGCACAGCATGCTGAAAAGCAGAGGTTGGCAGGCCTGAGGACGAGAAGGTGAATGATCCTCCGCTCATTTACTCTCTGGATTTACTGCTTCCCTGGACGGAGGCTTTGGGAAACTTGGAAGTGTTGTCCATGGTTCACAGACAAAAATATCTGCACGTGTATCAAAGCAAGAAGGCAAAATGTGCTTAAATAGCACCATGAGCTCAGCTGCCAAACGGATGGGGAATCCTGCAGCTTGGTAGCAGGGATTATGAAGTAACATTAGGCAAGGCTGAAAAATCACAGGTCTGCAGGTGAAATCATGGGCAGCCTGAGAGCACAACAGTTATATAAAATAACTAACAGTTATATGAAATAACTACATAGCCGCAGAGGACCTGTAGTCCATAGACTAATAAAGGTCAGTGTAACACAGGGGTGTTGTACAGTGGATGTGAAGACAGGAACTAAATGTGAGGCTCTCCAGACTCCAGAGCAGTCAGCTCCCCAAGAAGAGGACAGACAACGAGCTCCAAAATCATCCTGTTTCTCCACATCTGATAGGCTTTTTCCCCTGTTACTATGGGCGGAGAATCCCCAAGTCTCTCTATAACTCTCCTCTGCAAAGCAACTAGAGGAGAAGCACAGGTCGGGGGGCCTCAAGACTGCAAACACAGCCAGAGTATTTATCAAACAAGCAACCAAGATTCACAGCAGTTCCAGTAAACTTACTTACGCCATTGCAAACATAAACTAGCGTGCAGTTAAAATTTGCAAGATATATTTTCCATGCATATAGGCAATAGTTGAAATACTTCATCTCATTTTGTTCAGAAAATGCCAGACCATATTGGCTAGATTATCTGATTTCAGGTGAGAATTTAAGAGAATACATTTCAAAAGTTTCCAGTGGTCCTTCTTCCTTTTTCTCCTTTCAAAATCCTAAGCAGCTCTCTTAAAGTGTTTTGAAGTATCCCACACAAGTAGGGAAAACAAGGGCATTTTTCACTTTCTATTCATTTATTAAAGTGCCTTGTGAACAACTCTAAAAGAAATACTAAGATTCATAGGGATGGAGAGCAAGCTTAAATATCTGAGTGTGAAAGTTACCATTAAGAACAAGAGGCAGGATAAGAGCCACAAGGAGGGCAAGTGTGGAGGACAGCACCTATTCGCAGCTGGTCAAGTGTCCAGCACACCCATGTACAGCTTCTCAGGACGTCTAGTTCAGGAACAATCCACATGCAGACTGCAGACAAGGCTCAAGCTGGTAAGAGGTGATGGTGTGAACCTAGAGAACACCACAGAAACACTCAAAGAGCCAGAGGTGGAACCACTGTCACTTCCTAAAGTGTGCACAGGGGAGATTTAACATCAGCATAAGGCTGCAAACCTAAGAAGAACCCAGAGCAATAAGAGAAATCAACAGCATGTCCAGCATTGTCCTTCATGTCCTGAATCCTGATCATGTGGATGCAAACTCTTGGGTGTCTGCATGCTGGACTGGCATTGGGGACACAGCAGATTCTGGTGCTTATGAGGATGTGGGTATGTGAATGACAAGTCAGTTTTGCTTCAGTTTTGTTTCAAAATAAAATCGCCATCTCATCCTAAAGGGCCTGGTATTGAGATTTCTTATATCATTACAACATTATTTTGGACCACAGAAGAGCATCAGAGGAGACTTTGGAACCATACCAACAGCAGGTGAACAGAGGCAAGGCTCCTTAGTGACGAGTGTGCGGGATCAAAACGGTCCATAGTGTTTGCTACACCACACACTAACACACACTAGCAGACTGAGTTGTCTTACCAAAATCTTAAGCAGGATGATTAATACACCACTGGAAAAGCCACAATGCCCCACAGTCCTAAACTACTTGGCTGCTACTATGCAAAGAGAGCCTTCCCTCTTCCCTAGGAACTTGTGCAAAAGTTAACAGTACAGCCCAAGTTGACCACTTGTCCTTTCCAGCACTTCTGAACGCCCAGACGCTGAGGCAAAGGGCCAAGTCTGAGAGTCAACGTTCATTTTTTGTCTAGGAGGGAAACCCACTGGAAAACCAGCCCCTCCATTTTCCAGAACAAGCAGGTAATTCACAGTCTACAGCTTTTGTCCCCTGTAACAATGATGTGACACACACAAATGAGTGCACAAGTGTGATACCGCGTGAGCTATTAAACCTCAGGGGAAAAATATCCCCCCACGCCCCTCTGGCTATTTAAGCCATTTAAACGTTTTTTCTAAAACTGGTTCCTGAACACGGAAGAAATCACATGAACAAACCCAAGACCAGCAAAAGAGATCTAGACAGATGTTTGCATAAAATAGCTAATCCTAGGCTTTCTATAAGAAGGGAAACCTGCTGGAAATCCACCAGTTTGAGGGAAGCGTTCTTCCAAGTGGGTGGCTGGTCTCCTCCTGTTTCGTTGCCCCATTCAAGGGGGTCTATAACGCAATGGAAAAATGTCATTTCCCTGTTAACTGAAGAGGCAGCAACCGCCGCTCGCCCTTCCCCAGGCAGATAGCCTGATAACAGTCTGTCAGCTCCCCTTGTGATAAGTGATGAAGATGATAAAGCATATCTTAAAGATGATAAAGCAGAAACATCCCCTGCACTGGCTTGTGTTGTGTAAAGCTTTGAAATTGTGTTTAAAAGGAACTGTGAAAGGAGGAAACAGTCGGGAAGCCGCTATTCCTTTGGGACACCCACAAGTCTATGGGGGCAGATGGGACCACATGGGCGTTTTGTGGGGGGTGCCAGAAACGCTCAACAAGCTGCTCTCCACCATCTACCAATGGCCCTGGTCAACAGGGGAGGTCCCAGACATCGGGACACTGGCCAGCGTGATGCCCATCTGCAAGAAGGGGGACATGGAGGACCCAGGGAACGACATTCATGTCAACCCAACCTCAGTACCAGGGAGAGTTACAGAGCAGAGCATCCTGAGGGCGATCACACAGCCCGTGTGCGACAGCCAGGGGATCAGGCCCAGCCAAGACGGGTTCATGAGAGGAGGTCCTGCCCAGCCAACCTCCTCTCCTTCTACAACCATGTGATCCACCTAGTGGATGAGGGAAAGGCTGTGATCTTAGACTCTAAGTAAGGCTTTGGCACGGCCCCCCCCTGCCTTCTGGAGAGGCTGGCAGCTCATGGCTTACACTGGTGGACTCTTTGGTGGGTGAAGAAGTGGCTGGATGGCCAGGCCCAGACAGGGGTGGGGAGTGGAGTTAAATCCCTCTGGTGACTGGTCACGAGCAGGGGCCAGCGTTGGGGCTGCTCCTCTTTAATATCTTTATCAATGAACTGGGTGAGAGCACGGAGGGCATCCTCAGCAAATTCACAAGTGAAGGAGGAAGCTGTTCAGAGGGTTCTGGACAGGCTGGGTCAGGGGGCCGAGCCTGACTGCCCAGGCTGAGCTGGGCCCATGGTGGGTGCTGCAGGACGGGCCGGACAGGGTCGGGCTGGGGTGGGCTCGCGGGCGCCCGGGCTCCCTGTGGCAGCGCAGGGTGGGATGCGGATGTGCAGGGTCGGCACCGGGAGGGCGGCAGGAGCAGGAGGCTCCAGCAGAGCCCATCGCTCTCTGCAGCCGCCTGCGAGGGGCGCCGGGACAGCGGCAGGAGCCTCCACACGGGAAGGGCCGCGGAGCCCTGGAGAGGCTGCCCGGGAAGGGCTGGAGGCTCCGTCCCGGCAGCGCCCACGGGACGGGTGGATGGGGAGCTTGGGGACGGGGATCCGCAGGCACGGGGGTCATGGATGAACGGCTGTGCTGCAGCATCCTGAAGGCCTTTTCCAACCAGCACAAAGCTGTGGTTCTGTGAAAAGCAAACTCGCATTGAGGCTGCAAAATATTTAAAACTATAAAATCTACAGCTCTTCTGAATATTTCCAAGGCCCTTAAAATCTAAACACGGTCAAAAATAGTGTTCAGGAGTCCAGTAAGCACTGATCCTTGTGCTCATAAGCCATTCCAAGGAAGCAACAGTTTCTGAGAGTTTCTTAGCTGCACACCAGGAATGTGCTACTAAATAATAATAATAATAAAAAACACTCACAACGAGGGAGTAGGGAGAACAGCAGAAGAAAGAATTAGAGATATCATTTCTAACAAACAACAAATAGCATATGTTATGTTAGCTTAACAAAGCAGATATCTTCCTGGGAAAGTTTAACCACACAGACGCACTCTGAGAACTCCCTGTCCCCGTACCAGGCATTTTCCCCTGTTCAACACAGCAAGTTAAGATGTGGGAAAATTCCCCCCACCACTTATGTACACCTCAGACACTAAATTCACAAGTTAGTTTTGATTGTCTGCTTGTTTCAAAAGTATCAGAGGCAGAAATTAAAAACAAGGGAGGAATATCAAATAAATGTCTGTGAGCTTTTAGGTAAGAAGTCCCCAAAAATCAGGAAAAGATCACAAGAAAAAAAGCCACTGTTTTACTGATAAATAACTTTTTTTTTTTTTAATATTTTCACCCAAGTATTCTAGTATTACAGTGGTAAACAAAGTGCAAGTTTTCAGAAAGTCAACCTGAAGTCAATAGAACCCAAACTTGTTAAATAAAATGCTTCACAGAACACAGGTAGATTTTTCAAAATTATCACCTTCATATCTTCAAGGCCATGTAAGAACTGTTAAATTTCTGTTCAAAAGCTTGTTACTCCTTTTATTGCTAAATAATCTGAGCTGCTACATTTCAGAAGTTATGATTAATTAACCTTTGAAAACTCGACAAGATCTTGAGACACAAAATCATGAATCCATATATCAGTGTCTGGAAGAGATGTGTCCACTAAATATGTCACTATTTTTCGATCCCAAGAGTCAGTGCTTTCATTAACTGCCTGTATCAGTGCCACCAAGGGTTTCTTCTCTACACGATTCCGAAACACTACTGATGCCTCTTCCGACCACTGCTGGTTTTTCACTCCTAGGACAAATACAATGCAAAACAAAAAGGTCATTTTTAGACTAGACTAATCTGAATCATCTTGTTTATAGAAAGCAGGGGCAAGTCTAAGTGCTTGAGAAAAGACATATTTCAAGGAAGGGCTACTGAAAGCAGCTTAACTCTACAAAAGATGCAGGGTCACTCACCTCCCATGCAAACAAGGTTAATTACAGAGAATAGGCCATTCATTTTCTTGAAGTCCTAAGATCCGGACAAATTTGCAGAAGTGAAGGGCAGTGTCCATTTCAAATTGTGATAGCTATCACGTACAATCAAGCTATGCTACCCAGACAAATCAGATACCAAAAAAGACCTGATTCTGCCTGATGTTGCTGAAATGATTTAAGAGAGGCTTGTTTTAGATTAAGTTTTCCTCATTTCAACACCGTAATACCAGTTGCTAAAATCTCTGCCCAAGCTACACCTGCAGAGAGCAGAACTGGAGAGAAATGTCTCCCACATCTTGTTTCTCTTTGACATCATCATCCCACAAGGAAGGTTTGCTCAGGAATGTGACCTGAGACTCCAAGCAGGTTTTCGAGTGTGGCTGTCACCAGCAAAGTAAGGAGTGACTGCTGCAGACTCGGCCTTCCCTGCCCAACATTGTGTGCAGCATCTAGACAAAGAGGCTTTGACTTTGTAGGTGAATATCCAAGCAGCAAGTTAAGAGAGAAGAAGCAAAGTAGCAAAGTGATGGCACTTCCATTGCTAGCAGCAGCTTGCTACTGATAGGACAAGACAATATACTCATCTCCTGCAGGTTACAGAAGGAAGGAGAAGTCAGCAGTTGAAAAGAGGTAGTTAAAACTAGCAAAGGCTTTTGTGCAGAAGCAGAAGGGACTGTGCAAGAAAATATACTAGAGTGTGAGAAGAGACAGACTTGAAACAAGGCAGCAAAAGTGGAAGAACAGCAAGCAAATAGTTGCTGGTTGTCTTGGCTTTATTGGACTGCTTTGGCAGTGTGACACAGCTTAGAGGGCAGCTTGACAAACTGCACTGGTTTCTCCGAGGCAGGAAAATTGGATGACTTATCGGCTTGCTCAGCTGGATCCCACAATTCCCAGCAGACACAACTAGAAATCAGCTTCATTTCAGCGCTGCCCTCCCAGGACTCCAACCTAGTAGGAGCACAGCCAGCTTGGCTAATTTAAAAGGGGTCACACGAGTCACACAGAGGCTATTCAGGAAAGCAGATCCACAAAAAGCAACCGACAGTCAGAGCACCAACGTTATGGCCTGTCACGTCATACAAGTATATTTTGTAACCAAAGTCTAGATTAGCATTTACCAACCACCCTCCCACTTTTCCCCCCCTCAAAAAATAAGGTGAAAAGCAGCATCTAAATAAGAACAAATATTTTTGAAAGCAATGCAGAAGAAGGACAGAACAGTTTGGATAAGAAAGACTGCAAGCAGAAGCCAACTTTAGCCATTTTTTAAAAAATTTATCTGATGTATGCACACTCTCTATGTCCTATTTTCTCAGTCCAAATATTTTGCTTGAGTTTGGTGAAAGCCCCCCTGCCTCCCCTAGACTATGTACCCCTAGACCACCCCTTCTGGCAACTCTGGATTCCATTTAAGAACTAAAAAAAATACGTGCAAAAAAAAAATCAAGAAAAACTTCTCCAGAAGTCAGCCTCTAGGGTGCTTATGTAGATTAGGATATTAAGAATTCAAGTTCTTTTCAGCAGATTATCTCATAAATTTTGTACTTCATATGGGGTACAATGTTTAAAAAACTGAAAACTGTTTAGTTTTCATTTTCCCCATGTCTCTGCAAATTAAATTTCACAAATAAAATGATACATAATAGTGACACTGGAAAGCAGTTGATATGAAACCTTAAGCAAACTTCAGAAAGAATTCTACCACTGCATTAAAATTGGATTAACAGAATTATCACCACCTATACAAAGGGGAAAAGTAGAGCTACTTCGTCAGCATACACGTTCATGAAGGCTTCTAAGTGAATATATGCTCATTTTAGCAAAAATTGGTGATGTCACCACCCTTCAACATCTCTACTTATTTGGTAGCCCTACTGCTTAAGACTTTAGTCAAAGAAAATTGCAAATCCTTACAACCTACCTGCAAGCTGAGCTATTATAGCTTGAAAGGGTAGTTTTCTAAACGTGTTCAGGAGCGGCTGTACTTTCTTCATGCTGACAAGCTCGTGTTTACCATAGTCCAGCTCATAAACTGACAACAATCCATTTGTAAGAATTCCTTTTATTATCACCCTGTACCACCTAGAAAGGAGGAAAGTAAGAGCAGAAGATTTGAATTAGTCTTCACACACAGCCAAAGCACAAGAATAAGCTACCTATGGCAAAATAATAACAATAGTAACAATAATGATATCATCACCCTTACAGACATGTTTTAAGCTTTCCAGATCTGGTGCAATCTGAATAAACAAGAACTCTTTTAACTGTGATCTGGAAGCATGAAGAAACTGCAACCTCATTTACTCCCTTAATCTCTCTAGTATCATTAGACATCCATGATTTTGTCAGCAACACAGACAAAGTATTTTCCAAAGAAACTGTGTGGATGCTGAGTTTTAATGAGAAACATGTATTCCTGTCACTAATTCTAAAAGAACTAAGGATGATGATTTAGTAGGGTTTAAGTACTGCTGTAGGTAAAAGCTTGTCTTCAAAGAATTTGCTTTCAGCAAGTACCTACTCACTTGTTTTCAACTTGTGCTGCATACAGCTTGTGCTTTTCAATGTTCACAGGCCTCTCCTCTGCCATGCTGTAGTACAGCATCATTTCTTCCATGAGGACTTCCAGGTTATGCAGCTCTTGCCAAGGCTGGACAACAAAGTGACCCGGGTGGCAGGCAACCGAGATGTAGACATCCATGGGCTTCCCGAGCTTTGATAGGGGCAGAGGGGGAGGCATTTCGAGGGAAGGCACCGCGCCACCGCGCTCTACAGCCGTCTTGGCCGAGTCGGTGAAACTCTTCTCCATGCTGGTTAATCCCAGAGCTGAAATAGTTTCACCTGCCACTTTTGTGGAGCTAGTTCCGCCGGCCGCAGCGCTCAAGAAAACATCTTTCTGATGTTTCCACAAGTCTGCGTTTACGATCTGGCGGTTGATGCTGCGATCCAGATCTGGGAAATTCTCCGGAGTAAACAAGTAAATGTGCGCAGTTCCCTTAGAGTCATCCAGTTTAGCCACCTTTGAAAAGAAAAAGCTGTTTCATTTCCAGCTAATGAATTTAAATGCACATCTGGTTTTGTACAGAAGATTATGGCTTTTCATAGAAACACAGCAAAAGTTCCTTGCACAGGTTATGGAGTTATCCAGAGCATGTTAACTCTTGTTGGATAATAAGTAGCACAGCAGCTGAAAAAGGCTATTTGATCCCCCAGCAAGGAGTAAATACGAAGCTGGAACTGAGATTTCAACTGAGTTTTGAACAACTAGATAAGGCTATTAAAGATTAATCCCTAATACTTCAGAATGCTCTTATTATGGCAGACAAAGTCTATTACATTAGTGCTGGGGAAAAAAAAAAGAAGTTTTCAGGTTCATATTATGCATAATTTTCAAGTGATGAACTAAAACTATTTTCGCATTTATTTTATTCTTCTTTATGCTAGATTATTGATAGCTGTATTGGTAAAAAGGCACTGAGATCTCTTTTTCTTTTTCCCCACAAAATATGTTTGTTTACAGGTAGAGGTACCTAGTCTTTCTAAACTAATCCACAGAAGACAGTATTACTTCTAAGTATTAGACAGAAGAATAAAAGCTTTCCACAGTTAAAGCATATTCTTCTACTATTTAAGCAAATCAAAGACAGTACCAAATTCAAACTGCTGAAGGAGGGTGTTGAGAAAAGCCTGTTGTAACAGACAGCTCTCAGAAAAATACTATTTTAAGTACATGGTCTTTTATGCTAAGGCAAGCCAAAAGCTACCAGACTTATCAAAGTATACCCCTTAGTGCTCTGATGGTATTTGCAATTATATTCTTTTTTAAGAGGAAGTCAGTCTTGTTCAGTTATAATTTAGGAAAAAAAGATTTAATTTAGAAAAGTGTTTTCAGTTAACTGAACTACTGTAAGTGGGTAATACTTTAGTTTCAACAGAATAGAAACTTTAAGTATAGAGTAATATATGCTACGTCATAGTAGACTAGAAAAAAATGCAAACAAAAATAAAGTCATTTTTCAAGACCAGAAAGAGAAAGTTATCCTTTCTTAAGAGGATATAATTCTTAAGAGGATAAAAATAAACCAATTTATATCCTAATTTCCCTAATTTATATCCTTTGCCCAGGAAAAACATGAACAATTGGGCTTCTCCTCACCTATTGGTAAAATAATTCTACTTCCTATTTAGATCGGCACAGGAAAAAACGTGAAGGGAAGTCACTTCCCAAATTCTTGAGAAGAAAAAGCACCTCCTGACAACCTTAAGCAAGCACAATTTATGTCAAATGTCAAAAGAATAAGTACACTGCATTCGCACTGCTGGTTACAAACTTTTTATAAATAAATTTATATAACATTATATATTTACTTTATATGCCATGTTTGTAAGAAAAAGCATTGATGAATGGTTAACTTTGCAGAGCCTTTTCCAAAGGTCGGTGGATTTCAAGAAACAGAATCATTCAGCTGCATACCTTCATGCTAAAATCTGGGCAATTCAGTACAGTATCTCTCAGCCACAGTACAGCATCTGGAGTCCACATGCCAGTGTTGAGAGGCAGATCTGCCAGGCAACATTTTGTAGCCTGAAAACAGAATCAAGTATATAGGGTAAAACCTAACAATGTGGAACCCTAACAGCCATTGTTCTATTCAACTTCCCATTTACAGAAACATTATTAACGCAGACAGGTTCAGTACTTACAGAGACAGAGGAAAATCCGTAACCCCTGTCATTACTCACACACCACTACTGCAACATCTCTCAGTACAAAAAACTAAACTATGAATTGAACAAGAATAACTTCACTACTTAATTCGAGAAGAAGCAACACTACATATGCTGTTAAAAGATCTAGCATAAATTAGCTTTAACATGTCTTTTTACCTGAGGAGGTATTGCAACTACTTCTCTCAGGAATTGTGATGGGATCTCTCTGAGCTCTGATACTTTTACAGATGCGACCGTTCCCGTGTCCAAGAACTGCACGTCAAGTGCCCTACTGCTGTGAACAAGTGTAATCTGAAAGGAGAAACAGAACATTTTAAGGTTGAAAATTAAGGTAAGAAAAAAAGGGAAGATTATTAGTGAACTAGTGTTGTGCAAATTTCTACAAACACTTATTTCAGAGAATCACTCTACATTTTAGGATAAATTTTAGGTAAGTTAGCATACAGAGACATAAACAGTATAACAAGTTTCAGGGAAAACAAGGATCCAGATTTAGCTAAACAAAAAGGAAGAGCTGATTCTACACAGTGAAACAACTGCTGTTCTTTGAATTCGTCTTACCTCTACTCGTGCCCATTTTCCTTTATAAGGAAACAAGCAGATTTTGCCACAGAAAGGTAACGATACATTAAACTCGGATGTCTGCAAATATAAAACAGAAGTTACAATGCACAGAGCCATTACTATTTGACACAGAACTCATCATCACGAAAGCCACACACAGAACACACAATTCTGAGAAGCAATAGCTCAGTTTCAAACATAAAGCTTCTTTCTAGCCTTAGAAATACCTTGTATTACACATCAGCAAAGCTTAAATTCCTGGAAACACTTCTTACAGCACATTGAAGCAATGTAAATTAGTAGGATAAAGCAAAACCAAAAACAATTTCTTGTTTTTAGAAGTTCAGGATATAAAATCCACTGGCTACCATTGATAATTTAAAAAGCATGACCAGTTGTGACAGACATCTGGTGAACTTCCTATTTTGTATTCCAGAACACATCATTCAACAGTACATCTAATGACCCAAATTCAACTCTTGTCTCAAATGGAAGCCTCATGGAAACCATAATGACCCTAAGTGGATAATAAGGTACAAGAGAGACCAAAGACAACTGAAATGAAATTTACCAGGCTAAATAAATAAATAAATAAATAAATAAATAATCCTTATGTCATGCCCATAGACGTATCAATAAAGATTATGAATGCCAAGTTTTATCTTCAATGGCAACAGTCACCTCACAAGCACTATGCCCAGGAAATATGAACCTTTTCAATATCTGTTTGTCTTTACATGGTTGAACAACTCAGGGCTTTGTTTTGTTTTCTTCAATGTTCAGCCTGCTTGAAATAACTGAATCTCAATAACTGAGATACGCTCAAGGTAATTTCCACAGACTGTGTCTCAACTTGTTTAAAGCTCAACCTGTACACCTAAAAACGTTTTGGAACATGTTGAAATACTGAAGTATTTTGAAACATAATGTGTTACACATTTCACAAACAGTGGAGCTAACAGGGTTAGGGAACAGTATATGCTAGTATCTATGCACAGATTTTATCTTTTTGATAGATTTTTTGATTTTATCTTTTTTATCTTCATCATTTTGAAGTAGACTTCCCTCTGAAGCTTCCACGTGAAGTCACCCTTACTGGATATCCTATTACTGTTTAATCTATTCAAGGAAGGTTATAGATAGTTACTGACAGTGACAACTAGAAAGGCAATATCTGAACAAGAGAATGAAGAAAAACTTTCACTCTGAAGGCTTTCTCTCAAAGACTAAGTAAAGAATTTGGAGCCATTTTGATAATGGTCTGTAAATATCTCAGTAATTTGAACCTGTGTGGAAAAGGACTGATAACCTAAAGAAATATCGCATTACTCCATCACTTCCCTCATCCTGTGTCTACCTTGTAATGGAAGCAGTCTTCTATCTTCTGCAAGATTTCAGAGACTCTGGTCATGCCTTTAGATGGTATCTGGCAATAGAGGCTTCCATCAGAAGAAACGCTGGTTATTCTGACGTTTGTATATACTGCATCTACCTACAACGGTAAAATTTTGACAAGAAAGGGAAAAGAACACACATAATAACTCAGCAAATTTCTGCATAGTTTTTTATGCATCCTATACTTGAGTGTTCAGTAATTTTTAATGAATTAAGCAAGAAGCAGGAAGATGGTACCTGTGGGTGCAGTTCAAGGGACTTGTCATACAGCGCCTTCCGACACAGAGCATTGATGTTGACATCATCTTCTCCAGATGTGTCATAGAGGACAAGAGGAGGAATATCACTCTTTTCCAGTATTTCCACAGCAAATATCTTGCTGCAAGTTAGTGCTTCCACAGTCTTTACTAAAACAGGATCATCACAGAAGAATTCCAACCCTGTAAAACAAGCCATACTTTCCATATATCGCTTTATTTGAAGGAAGACACAATAATCAGGTTTGCATTGGCAACAAGAATCAGGATGTAGAACAAAATTTGTATTGCATCCCCACTTGTACTCTGCCTAATTTATCCCTCTTTAACATAGAATGCTACCTCAAAAACCATAATAAATCAACATCTTTTCCATAAAGAATCGAGGCAAATGTATAATGGAAAAAGAGTGCAAATAAAAACAATCTATACTTCTCTACACGTGAAATGAGATGTACATGTTAGAAATGGCCAGTTTGGGGAAGGTAACTTTCCTTCACAGTCTAGGATTTCTGCGAGTACTTAGAGGTTGTCTCAAATTGATTTGAGGGACCACATGCAGTTGTATAACCATACCAAACCAACAGACATGCCTTATTTCTGGAACAAGGAGTTGTGCTACTAGATTGTTCCACACATCCCCGAATATTTTGGCAAAATTTCCTTAGGCAAAAACAGATTAAAGGGCAAAATCATGCAAGCTCATTCCACATAAGCTAAGGGCAGAAACAATTTAAGTTCCCTCAGGCAGATATCAGGTATTCTGATATCAAGTTGTTTTTCTGTTTTAAAAAAGCTGTCACCTCCTTCCTTGCTCCTTTTGTTCTCCCTTTCCTTCCTTCCTCTTATCTGCCTAGACTAAACTATGATATTATTATAAACAACAATCCCAACATGCAGGCTGAGATGCTTCAACAAGTCTGTATAGTCAACAGTGCTTTTTTCTTACCTGCCAGTTTACATTTTGCAGCCTGAAATGGAAGCGAGTAGAACTGTTTGCCTAGTTTGTACACATATTTCTTTTCAACCACCTCACTGAAGCCATAATCAACATAGCACACCTGAAAACGGAGAAGGAAACAAAAACACGATTATTAATACCTTTTTAAGAAAGAGGCCTTGAGTCTAGGGATATTCCGTTAACATTCTCTGTGCATCCACTGAATAGACCAGCCACTTCTCCGCAATTTAGTGTTATATATTGCTATTAGTATCATTTCTTTTTCACCACTTTCATTTTCAGGGTATAAAGAAAGTTTCCTTCTTGAGATCTCTAAAACCATCCTCCTCAATCATTCCACAAAAAGTAATTTCTTCACAGAAAGAGAAAGACAGAAAGAAAAAGACTCAGCCTACATTAGTTGAAGTTACTTGCGGAAAAAAAAAGTAATAAAATTGCAATTTTGAATTTTAAATTAAGTGTTGAAAACTCAAGTACCATTTCAGTTTCATTTTACAGTTGCCTTTTGTTTTTATAGCTTTGAGGATTGTTTTGATGAATACTTCTAATAACTTTGCTACATATACCACAGGTATTAAAGGAAACCAGTAGAGAAAGTTTCAAGCTTTTTTTTTTTTTTTTTCCAAGTTTGAAAACAAATAGCTACTTGCCTTTAATCTGTTGTCTTCCACAGAAGTTATCTGAGCACGCAACCAGGCATCTTCCTCAACATGCACTGCAGCAAGTTGCCCAACACTTACAGACTGAACCAGTGACACTGAAGGATTCCAACTATAATATTCTTTCATCTCATCTTCCATTCGTTCCTGTGCAGAAGAATAATCTTTACCCACATACCTGCAGTATTTTAGAAAAAAACAAATTGCAAGAGTCAGGATGTGATTACAAAAGGCTTCAGAAAAACGTATCAACACTTACATGAATATTAAAATATGAATAATTTATAAATAAATACAGCTTCTGAGCACATCAGTATTGAAACTCTTATGACTAATAGGGCTATAGAGAAGTAGCAAGTCATATAAACATCTGTATAGTCCAGAGCTAAACATGGTCCAGCAGTATAAAGCCTATCATACTCAACAAGATTTCTAGTGAAAGCTGTTTCTAGTTTATTTTAGTAATGTAGAGGAACTTGACCCAAAGGGCAGAGTAGCATCAGGGACAACATGGAACTTTTGTGACACCTCTAAAGCTCCTCTGCCATTAGGAGCACCAGCTTAATTAATCAGGAGTTCACTAAAGTCGATCAGAGCACAAGGCATTTAAAATAGGTTTAGAGATCAGCTGTCAAACTACCTCCTGCTCACTCTCTTCTTAGCCTTTAAAATAATTTTGCTATTAAACTGCTGACCTTGCTCATACCAAAGCAGTCTGCAACACAAATCTTGAGTTTAAACTATGTAAACTTAGTGAAAGATCCAACAGGACATTCTAAACATTTTAGGAACATTAGATCAGAAAAAGAAGAAAAACTTATTTCCAAAGTTGTGTTAGCAGCAACTTTTAAGTACATTAAACTCAGTCATAAAAATGACTAGTACTGCCATTTCTACTACAATGTTTGGTATAAAATACTATAAAAAGATACGTTTGTTATGAGGTTGGATGTATATACACCTGGAATTTGTGCAGTTGTTGTACTAATACACACCTTTTAAAATTATTAACTTGCATCTGATCATTTCCCAGACTGAAAATGAATGATATGATTACCATATCATTCGACTATATATGGTTTTCATGCCTAACAGCCCTTTTACTTCTATGTAAACACATACTTCATAAGGAACTTGGAGTAGAGACAGGTAGGTGTATATGTGCTATTCAAAAGTTTATTTCTTAACATTTGTTTCTTAAAGATACTTAACACAAAGTAGAAGTATCTTGAATTTTTCAGAACTTCTTGCCTTACTATTTTCAGGGAATAGGTAAAAATTGCATTAAAAAGCATTTTGGCTGATCAAAGGTGATTGAGGTTGCTTTCCAAGTTCCTTTTTGTTAAAAGAATCTGAAAAATAATTTTTCTAGAGCGTGTGTTAATCTACATGCAGGTGGTCAGACTTTGCAAGTCATTTGTTATGCATTCAGCATCACTCTCAATGGATAGTAATTCAAATATCAAGCTTGTTGCTTCATTGTGAAGGGAACAGAGCAGTTACATTCTTGTAGTGAAAAAATGTAGTATTTTTTTCTATTCAAAGGGATAAAAGTGGGGACAATTTTCCAGATCTCTGGCTGGAAAACTCACAGTTGAGGATAAAATGACAATTATTTCTTGCAAGAATTCCATTGTAGGACCTAGCACATCATCTCTCCCTTGACACTGCTGTAGGTGTACACAGAATATCTAAGAACATTTCAATCATCTCACTTCATTCTGCCTACAACAGAATTCTTAAAGAACCATCCCAAGTTTCAAATTTGAAATAGCTCTAAACCTTTGAATTTTGTCTTAAACTGTACTCCAATACAAAAGCTTAAGCCAAATAACACTTAGTCATATGCCAAGAAAGTCAGGAGAAATTGCTCAAGTAAGACACAATGAGTAATCTTGATTTTCTAGTGCTGCCGAACAGCAGCAGTAACTGGCAGCCTCCATACACTTCTTAAATAGGAGTGAAAAAGACTGTGAGACTATGCAAAGAAAAGCAAAATCGTGCATTTTTTTCCTTTTTTTTTTTTTTTTGCATCCACACAAACATTCTCTCTATGCTCCCCCCTAAAAAACAAAAAACAAACACTCAATTTCCTTCAAGACCTGTTTTGACCTTGAAGATGAGTGACTTTGCCCACGAAGCAGACAGTCTTTTAAGTACTCATTCCAAGTAGACACTAATCAACGCCCTATTACCTACACAGAATTTATTGCTTAATATTGTCTGAGAACCATGGTCCAAAATTTGCAGCTTTAAAGGATTTTTTTTAATGAAGCAGCCTCAACTCAGAGTTATCATATGGCAGGTAGTTCCAATTTGCTCAGATGTAACATCAATAAAGCTATGTTATTCCTTACAATCTTACCAAATGCCACTGAAAGCCATTTATTCAGAGCTACAGGACAGTTACTATCGGTGATCCACTATCCACCTTATTCTGGAGTAAAACAGAAATGCTATTCACCAGTTAAGCTGAATTCTCTCTCCTCACTGGTCCAGTATTTTAAGTGCTCACTGTACATTTTCATTATGTTGATGACCTAAGTCCTGATCTTTGCCTGCTGTGGTCAGACTGTGAAAATATGTTGGGTGGGCCGACATCTCCGTTTCAAGATAAGGGCAAAAATCTAAAGAAATCTAAGAATTGAAGCTTCTTTTCCATGGTTGATAAAAAATGTCAAGAGAAAAAAAAAACCAACAACAAAAAAACCCAAAACCACTCCCATGAATCTTGATGCAGTGAGAAAAAAGGGGGAAAAAAGGATCTAAAAATGACAATAAGCATTTGGAAGGATGCTGAAATCATTCAGAATAACTATCTTTAGTTCTTTTCATCAACCAGGAAAAGCACTGCTTCATCTCAGAAAAGACAGCACATACCAAGGAAATCCTTTGCATTTTTACTTCTGTTTCACATCAGAGTGCATCATTTGCACACAAAGCTGTCCTGGATGAGCTGCAGCACACCTGAACAACATGAACTTACTATGTACTAGAAAAACAGAACTACACGGGCTAAAAAATAAGAAGAATATTTAAAGGAAAATGATGACAAATGCTTCACAGGAGGTATTTGTTGCATAAGCTACAAAAGTAGCTTTCCATTTTGAACACAAATTTGGATACTCAGTTGTAGCAGCAGCTGAGGATCAAGTTATGGAGCACCTGAGAAGTCTTGAACCATGCAAGTCTATGGGACCATATAGGATGCACATAGGGGCACTAAGAGCACTGGCTGCTGCCCTTGCAAGGCTGCTGCCATCTCTGAAAGCTGAGGAAGACGTGGGAAGGTTCAGACAACACTATGTGTGGCTACTAACTTTAGGAAAGCCCAAGAGATTAAACCGGGGACCTACAGGCAAATCAGCCTCATTTTGGCCCTGGGAAAAAAAGTAACTGTGGTAGAGGGATTGCTCCCTACCCCAGCACCTGCACACGGCTCCGAGGAGCCTTCGGCCTTGAGACAGCGATTCTCAGGGAAGCAGCAAGGTCACAACAACAGCGCACGCTGTTATCCAGTCACTAAAGGTACATGGAAACGTCAACACAGACACCTGCTCTCTGCAAAAACATCTGGCAGAAAAACATAGCAGAACGCGTTCCAGCAAAGAGGAATGTGTTGACCACATCCTATCCGACCTGGGTGTAAGACATGCCTACGGGGGCTCCTGAGTTTTTGAGCTAAGTTCTCCTCTAAGACAGCGGGCCCTGCAGTCGAGAACTCTCCGCTCAGCTCTGGGAGAGGTCTCAGAGTTGGCAGTCCTCTCCCTTGTGTGGTAGTTAATTTGCACACACAGGCTTAGGGACTTAGCCTTTGGATTTGGGATTTAGGATTTTTAGACCTCAGATTTTTTTTCAAAGTGGTAGCTAATTCTCATGACATCTGAACTTGCTAAGTGACTTTCCCCTCTGCCAGCCTGTTCTAATAAGGCATATTCTAAATCATCCACTGGAGTGCAGCCTCTACACGTCAAATCTCTGGCAATCAGAGATTCGTGATGGTTGGAAAAGGCGTTCAGCGTGCTGGAGCGCAGCTGTTCGCCCATGACCCCTGTGCCTGCGGATCCCAGTCTCCAGGTGCCTCATCCTCACGTCCTGGGAGCACTGCCAGGAGCTTCCTCCTCTCCACCCTCACAGGCCCTGGCTCCTCAGTTGCCCTTGCTCTAGCCCCACACCAGCTCCACTGCCCTTCTTAATAAATCCTGGACCAAATGACAGAGGTGACATCGTAACCTTAACAGATGGGAAAGCTGAAGTGTGCTGGCCCACAGAGGAAGCGAGTTACGAATGCCAACACAGTGGAAAGGGGTGCAGTGACAAGGAAAGTACTGTGTGCAGTCGTCTCATCCGCACAGGAATATGGAAGTCAGAGGAATAGTTTGTTCTGCTTAATGCACAGCATGCAATAAGCAGAATGTCCAACTGTTTCAGCATCCCTACAGATACTTGCTCATATACTCTGTTTATATACTCATATACTCTTAAGGCATTAATTCACCTTTCTTAAGGTGAATTAATCACTTAAGGCATTAATTCACCTTTCATCACTGTCCTTGCTCTCCAAGACGAAACTTAAACCCAACCTTCACAAAAGTACCCCAAAATACATCTCTTATGTAACGCTGCCAACTGTTTTTCTTTGTTTTTAACTGAAGTTCACTTACAAACTCTGTCAGTCTTACCTTCACTAAAATGATTAACTTGTCCACTCAGTAAAAGTACAGACGCAAAAGCTCTTGCCTTAATTTAAGTTGATAAAACTAGTACAGAAAACAAGTTTATAAGCATGATCCCTGCTGTTATCCCAGCCACTAAAATGTACAAAATACTTCAAGAAAAAGCATAGTATAAAATGGTGCTAGCATCTAAAACAAAAATGTCAACATTCTCTTATGAGAATTTCTTTCATAATCCCCAAGTATGACTTTTTCTCCAAGAATTCCCAGCCTTTACAGTAATATGAGCTCAGAGAACTAAACTGGCGGGCTGAAAATCAAGTAAGTTCCAAGGCTTACTGTTCCAATACATTACTGTTGGCTAGAGGAATTAAAAAGAAAAAAAAAAAAAAAGAAAAAAAAGTTTTAACTTTACAGTTAATGTTGAATATTGAGAAACAGTAATAAAGAACCAGGTTTGTTCACAGCTAAGTAATCTGCATACAAGCCTATTGAGAGCTAATCAAACTCTTAGGGAATGAGTGAGCTAATAAAAGCTGAAACTGCAAAAACTGACAGGAAAAAAGTTTAATTCATCTTTTCAGGTGACATAAAACTGTTTAAGATTTATGTCAATTTGCAATAATTTAGAACAAAATATTCTTTAGAAAGTTATAGTTTTAACAAATTGTTGGCATTTCTATGTTTTATACCCACAGTGAATCACATTAAGCTTATCTAGGTAATTCCTGACACAGGACCATAATATAACATAACACAGCAACTACAATCCTCTTTTTACAGTATCCCCTGAAGTTGGACAGACTAACCACCACCAAAACCTTATAAGAAGTATTTGTAACTCACTGTTGAATGGAAACTCATCTACCCCAAAAAGTGAAAACTGCAGTGTAATCTCAACAGGTTCAAACCATGACTGGGTAGTCAGTTTCAGAAGGAAAAAGAAAATAAGGAAACAAACAAAAAAAATGCTTTGATGCATATTGCTACAAGGCAATATCTAAACAATGCTCTGAGCATATATGACTTATTTAATATGTCTTTCAAGCCTGCTTTGGTTCTCAGACAAGATAAGGGTAAAACTGATAAGCTCATCAATCTCAGCAAACTTCTATTCAAACACATAGACAAGGATTCCTAAGTATCATTAAGCGCATTAGCAAGATCTCCAGTTCATCTGTTGTCTTATGGTAAAATTTAATAATAAGAATATATAGACTGACAAATAAAACTGAAAGTGATTCTGAAGTAAGAACTTGCCTAATTATAACCTCATTAGTGTTGTTCAGTTCTACTACCAAGACAGACAGCGATCCTTCTGCTGGAATGACTAGAGGAGGGACAGGCATGTTCTCTGGATACTGCTCTTTGGATTCTTCGTTCTGCTGTTCAGCTGCAGCCTTCACATCATCACGCATTTGGACTTTCTCGGGGACATGCTGATTTTCATTAATGGGTTTTGGGGATTTAGCATAGAGGATGGCCTTTTTTGGGTTGTCAGAAATATGGTCCACTGTGCATACATCCGAGAGCAACTCTAGATTACTTAGAACGCCCTCTGGAAATTTTTGTTGGTAAGCGTCTTGGTACAGCTTGGGAAGTGCATTAGCCCAAAGGCCACTGGAATACTTCATCAGGATGTTGACAACTTTCTGCTTGAAGTCACTGCCAAGAGAAGCAGCTGAGGTTTCCATGCTTGTTTTTAACAAGGGGTCCGCTTTTGAAGAAGTAACATTTTGAGATGCTTTTCCTTGCTCTGTATCACTCTTCACTGATGATGGTACCCTCTTAGCGGGATAAAGGAGTCCATCCATATGATCACCTGTGCATACTTTTTCCACCTTTAAAAATAAACAGTAGAATCAAGAATCAGTTATGCCCCAATCTAAACCATTTTAATAAAATTTTATGAGACACACTTAACACAAACTATAATAACGGAACTAAATATGAGGCAATTTCTGCAAAGTAGTCATTCCTTTTGATGTCTTCTCCTCCTCTGTTTATCTGGACACTGGACGCATGTCTAAATCTATAGATTAAAATCAAGTAAGACTTCCTTCCAAAGAATAAATATTTATATTTTTTTTCTCCTATCAGAAGATGAAAGTAATGATAGACATAGGATAGAAAGTAATGATAGAATAGGATAGACATAGGAAAACAAACAAACAAGCAAGTAAACAAACAATCAAAAATCCTAAAAAACTCCATCTCAGTTCTCTGATGCAAAAAGCGATTTGATGGTACATTTCAGAAATGAGGGGTCAATTGCCAGGCACTACTGTAAACAACATCTGCTGTCACATAAAGAGAACACTTATTTGGATAAATCCTGAAAATTAAGGAAGATAATTCTGAATAATTTTAAGGTTAATTAGGCCATCTTAGATCACACATCCAGACCACACAACCTCCCTCAACACCTATATGCTTTTCAAGTCCACATTCCTTCTCTTTCCCATATCCAATATTACACCTCCTGGACAGTTTGAAGTCATGGCCATGAAAACAGTATTGATGAGAACAGTAAGAACAAATGCACAATGAAATTCCACATTGTTAAAGCTACAAAATTTCAGCAAAGATCAGCCTAACCGTAGCTTAGAACAAGTGTCTCTGTAGATTTTAGACAATCAAAGCATCACTGCTTTCACCATAATCTCCAAGCAAGAACAACTCTTGCAATAAATAAATTTTAAGGTTTATAGAGCTCCACTTCGACATTTCTTCCATCAGAGGAAAGACACATTTGGTTTCCCAAGAAACATCACATGCAAGCCCCTTCCAGAGCTAGATCAGTGAAGAACAAACTGAATGGATGGATAACTACCTGCTACTCTGGGGTAGCTCTCACCTTTGGGACAGTGAAGTTCATATCCAGGATAACTTTACAAACCTTGCTAAAATTGTTCATTGCTGTTCTCCCTTAACAACATGCAGTGAAAGAATAAAATGAAAAAAAAGGTTTTAAATGTCTTTCACAACAAGAAAGTTTCAGGTCACTTATTATCAAGATAATACTGGCAAGACAAGATCATTTAGTTGCAATGTATTCAAAAACAGAAGAAATGGTCACTATCACATGAAGATGCATGTATATCTTAGACACACCTTTTCATACTCAGCCCAAATTACTACATGCCTATCTGAGCTGAGTCAGCAAAATCCTCCTGGATGTGTTTTCACATACTGACTATAAATTTCACTATATAGAGTGATGCAAAAGTAAACCAATCAAACAGACCTTGGCTACAGATCTCAGTTACTCTTTACACAGATCAGCGTGTATTCTGTCCAAATTTCCTACAAAATAAATGGTTATAATAGATGAAACAATAAAAAAAATAATATTTTGCAGTTCTCATGCATTCACTGTGGCAAATCTGAGTTCCTTGAGCTTGAGGAATCCACAGACACAAGTGTTCAGTCTTTAAAAATGACCTCTTTCCATTCTCTAAATTGAGATGACATACAAGACTGTTTGGAGTGGAAGTGAGAAAAAGAAGAGGTTAGTGACTTCTTACAGACATGCCTATACCCGAGGGAAAATCCTCAAATCCATCTAATTTCAAAGCTTCTCAGATAGTTAGCTTAACAGTTAAGATCACAAAGTCTATCCTGACAAACAATTGAGAAGCAGAGAGGAATAAAGGAAAGTACAGATTGTGTAAAAATCTTAGATGTACAACTTCTAATTTTATTCTGTATTTCAAGGAAATAATTACTGCAAAGATGCATCTCATAATAAATCAAGACTGATTCCAAGACCTGAAGATCCTATAAGGTGAAGTGGGATCCTGACATTAAAAGAAGCCTGTGCAAAGTATTCAGGCTCTTACTTGTGCTTCATCAAGTTTGCCTAGAGGACAGTAGTCAGCGAAGTAGTGCTCTCTGTTTATCTTAAGTTTGTTTGATAATTACAGAGCTCCTTCAGAGCGTTTTATGAATGCATGTAAAAATAAGCTTTTCTCCTTCAAAAGAAGTTATTCCATAACAGAATCTAACTACAGACACTGCCATATAATCAGAGGGAGGCCAGATCCAGGATTAAGTGATTTGCAGAACCTAGAGGACCTACAGTAAACTAACAAGAAAAGTTTAGTTGGAGGGACCTCTGGAGGCCACATGATCCAACTACTCCAAGCTGAACCCAACAGATCAGATTGCTCCAGGTCTTGCGCAGCTGAGTGGGGAAGATTTCAAAGAAGGGTGTAGATTCCATAGCTTCACTGTGTTCCTCTTCCAGAGGCTAAGCACTCTTCTGAGGAAGAAAAGGGCTCCTCCAATCTTCTGAGACTGCCCTGTATTGCAATATATCTGCTGCCTCCTGTCCTACCGGTCCAAGAACTTTGTATTCGCTGTGCGTGTCCGTGAGGAAGGAGTGACAGCTAGAAGAGCTCACCTCTGCCTTCTCTTGCTCTGAACAAAGGCATTTCTTGTCACCTTTTCTTTGTTCAGAGCAAGAGAAGGCAGAGGTGAGCTCGTCTAGCTGTCACTCCTGCTGAGTTTGCACTTTCAGTTAATGTCTGCCTTGTTCTGTCCTGGGGAGCTCCAAACCAGACCCGGGACTCCGGGGTGCACTGGGATACTGAGAAGGAATCCCCTTCCTCCACCAGCTACCCACACCCTTGCTAAGACAACCCGCATGGAGGCTAAAGGCCCCTCAGCTTATTCCAGTCTGATCTGATGCTCACCAGGACTCCCAAAGGCCTTTAGTGAGAACTACTATCCATTCAGCCCTATCCTACATCACCAGCAGTCTCCTTCCAGCAGGGCTTGGCATCTGCCTCTGCTGAACTTTAGGAGTTGCCTGCTAGACCCAGATTGTTGAGATCCCTGAAGAGCAGCCCTCTCCTCCAGCATATCAGTCATCCCAATGTGATATCACCCCAGACTTCCCTCATTCACTTTATTAAGAAAGACGTTAAGCAGATTGGCCTCAGCCTCAACCCTTGAGACATGCCCCTACGCAACAGCACACTGGACCTCATAGTAGGAGTAGTTTGGCCAGTTTCCCACTCCACCTGCTCAAATCCACATGCAGTGTTTAGATGCAAAAGAGACTATGAGAAAACATGTGAAAGCCTTTATAAAGAGGCTGTATCAAGGAAGCAGTGCACTGCTCTCATCGACACTGCCCATCGCTTCAGAGAAGGCAGTCCGACTGATCAGATATGAGCCGTCCTTAGCAAATACCTGTCAGTCTTTCTCAACTCCCTTGTCCTTCACATGCTTCTGAAGAAGTTGCGCCCTTGAATCTTCCCAGGGCTGGAAGCATGTGTTTTTTTTTTTCCACGCCTCAAGAACTAGATTCCCCAGCATGCTGCACTTCTCACACTGCAGGAGAAGTGAACAGCTCTGCAGTGACATCAGTCAGCACCCCCAGCTCCCAAACTCAATCGGCTTCAGTTCTTCCCAATTTGATCTTTATTAACTGCAGGTAAAGCTTCACTCCTGGAAACTGTGCTCCTAAGTACCCAGAAGGTCTGAGGGACTAGAAACCAAGACAGACAAGGCACTGAGTACCATGACCTCTTCTATGTCCTCTGTCGCTACTCAGGAGACGCTGCAAAAGTCACTACAGCAGTAATCCATAGAAGCTATCAAGGATATTTTCAATTACAAGACCATTAACAATACAAAATGACATTCTTCCTTCACCAGAAGAAGCACCTGTAGAAGCAACTGGTAGCAGATACCTTACTGTGCCTCTTCAACCACCACCAATAATAAGAGTTTGTTTAAAGTTATTAAATACTTGCAAGGGATAACTTCCCTGTATACTCTCCTCGAAAAACTGTAAAGTAGCCCAGAGGATATCAATACACACTCCTTGGCAGATAAAGAATATCCAAAACTGTGGTACACAAGATTGAGAGATTTGTTTAAAATACAAGCTAAGAAAATTACTACTCCTTCAGCTCCATAGAATACTTGAGATTACTAACGCCACAAACTGTATGAATAGACTGTGTTAGGATGTATGGTAGATTATCCTGAAAGAGCTAGAAGCAAGAGTGTACATTTATACATCTTTTCTCTTGGTCTACACTTTTTAAATTGGTGCTGCAAAAAGGATGAATGAGTTTTAGTTGATGGGACTTGTAAACCTCACACCCTGGAGACTGGCAGTAGAGTGGAGAGAGGAGACCCTTAGTGCCCTTTAAGCTTCTTAACTCCAATAATAGCTCCAGGGTTTTATAGACATCAAATCTCTCTTTTGAAGAGACTGGATGCTGACAGGATGCTGTGTCAGCCATTGGGAGGCAGGAAAACATTGCTATTTCAGTAAGCTATTTCAGCTTACTTCAGTAAGCAGGCTCAGATGGATGTCCTTAGGTGGCTACTCCTTGCACTTAAGCTAACAGCCATGATGCAACAGACTCTTCCAGTCACTGTTACAGTCAAGAGACCTTCAAATTTGCCTCACAGGGTAGACTCTTTTAATTGTAATTAGTTTTGCTTGAGCAACCAACTTTGTATCAGCTACCCTGTCTTTAGGACAGACCTCATCCTGGTTTTCAGGACGGTCCGTACATTTGTCAGGATCGTGCTGGTTGTAAATGCAGGCCTGCTTTGCAAGTACAACATACCTGCTGGGATCTGTCCATTAGAGAGCAGGGACAAAGCCTATCGGAATGTACTGCCAGGGCAACACTGACTGTTTAAGACCAAACAGGTTAAAACCATACTACACTGAAGAAATAAAAAGGCATGTTTGTCCTGGACCTGAGCAACAGCAAGAACAAGCAAAATTACACAGGCAGCTCTGAAAAAACAAAATCAGGATCCCAAAATAATTAATGGAGCTTCAAATTTAAAAAACTTCCAGAATAAA